TGTAGATTAAAAATCCACTCGAATGTGCCCTGCATTCAAAGTTTAAAAATTGTGGCTCTTTAAGGAAACCTCAGGGTTCTGTCATAGTGCTTGTAACATTGATGAATTCGGAAGCCGTTGAAAACATTTGCTGGTAATTTATGCTCTATTCGTCCTAATTTATATAAGTACGGCAATATTTCTTAATTAATTAATCCACTCATGACACGCAAATGCAGTTGCTAGAGTACAAGGGAGGTTGTTATCATGAAATTCCAGCTGGTACATCATTATTTATTTATTTCTTCCCATCTAATAATCTCATCAATAGAAAAGGTTTAATAGATCTCTGATTCGGCTTATTGAGTTCTCTAAAAAAGATATTTTGTTGCCACCCAAGCCCTGTACGACAAACATTTATTTGGACCTATGTTGATTACTGTCGGTCATCAATTACAAAAATAAATTTCGGTAATTATAAATCATGGCTTTCAAAGATCTTAACATCAAAGTGTGTACCTTTTTCTGTTTGTTATCTTTGTTAATACTGTTCGGCATTTGTGCTCGATTAGGGGTTTTACTAATTACGAACATGTTGTAGTGTACAAAGGTTTGTTTAAATAATTTGAAACTACCGAAAACATAAACGCAAGCTTATTTAGGCTTTGAGTTAATCACTGTGTTCAGCCAACACAATGCAGGGTGGAACTGTGCAGTACACTTTGGAGTACACCTTTATTCCCATAAGGATGAGACGTGAAGCAGTTGGTTAGTTGAGCTTGTTGGCGAACACTAAGTAGCTTCCTTCAGACTAAAACGAAAATGGCAGAGAATCAGCCTCGAGGTTTCAGTCGACGGGTTTGCGTAGTGCATGACAATGTCCCGTAAGGCCCTTTTTAAATGATTATGCTTTTGCAAGAGTGCTGTTTCGCTTTGTAGGTGTTTCTTATAATGCCAAGCATCACCTTTACTGCCGAAGTCAACGTAACAAGCATGCAGTTGCACAGCGCCTTCAGATTTCCTTTTTTATGCTGCTTGATGCTGATTGGTTTAAGTGTTTCATTAAGTGAGTAATTATCGATACATTGTAGGCCAAATTTTCTGCGAATTGAAACAGGCAAATGAAAGTCCACCCAGTCCGATTCCGCGCTGCAAACTAGGCGAACCGTGCATTTTGGCCTTGACATGTTCAGGCCGGGGGGACTTGTAAGATTGGCTTGTAGTCATTATGATGGAGCCTTTTCCCACAGAAAAATGATTAAAGATAACAATTTTATTTCCTGAAAACAATAACTTTATCGGAATTCCGGAAAGTTCTTTTTTTTTCACTAATTTGTTATATTATTTTTGTAAATTTTTTAGCATGTGTTGCGTTGTTCATGCTCCAACCAGATATTTCACGCTTCTTGAACTTCTCAATTGAGTATTTTTAATAAAAAATAATTATGTGGGTTTCATAAGAGAATCGTCCAAATACTGTATGTGGTGAGAAGGTCACGATTACGCGTTTGGACCCAAAGAAGAAGGGAATGTGTGTATCATAGCACACAGACATTAAGGAGACTGACTTAGCCACAACCTACGCAAACAACCAATTTCACAATGTCATCAAATGTCGTATTTTCAAAGCAGTGTTCCACAAAACCTGAAAATGTGTAGCCCGTCATCGAAGCGGGAATTCCCCGTTAAAAGTAGACTCCTGTCCTTGTTTTTTTTGCGTTCGGTGAAACGAATGCTATTCTGGGGTGGGGCGTGGTGGTCTCGATTCGTTCATCCTGATCTTCACCTTTTTACTACACTCGGCCTTCCAATGGTTACATCCTGCTTGGAAACAAGTTTACTAATGCGTAGTTTAATGTGTGGTGTTGGTAACTGCAGTACATATTGCTAGTAAATTAATCTAATAAGTTTGTGGTAAGAATTTGATTAAATGAATTTCCACATGCCTTTGGCTTTTGACTCAGAGATGCCTAAATATTCGTTCACTTTGAAAATCATTTAAAAGTGCTGCTTATTCGCTTCCGTTCGATCATCACATTTATCATATTATTTCCTTTCTTTTTACCTGCTTTTTTACTTTTCACGTGGGCTTTCATCATGATGATTTGTGTGTATTTAAAGCAATTTCTAGTCCTTCCTGCCGTGTAAGGACGTTTGGACGAGCAACCAAAAATAAACTAAACATGTAATTAGACAGTTCAATTGTTAAATAAATGAAAGTTGTTCTCTGAATTCCTGTGAAAATCTTGCCAACCTATTCATTCAACTTTAGTTTTCTTACACCTTGCAACTTTGTGTACACTTGAAGCCTTCACTTTTTCTCCGAATTGAGTTTTTTTAAGGCAGGCTAATGGGGCCCTGCGAATTTAGGCTGATGGTGAAGCCTGGAACCGTGGGACAGATTGGTGATGCAACAGCACACCCCAAATCACGTTACTTGCTGATGCTTTACCCGGTAGTTAAACCGATTTAAACAATTTCTCCCACCAAAATTTTGTTTTCGCCTTGGTTTGTTTGTCAATAATTTTTTTCTAATCCAGTAGGTTAAATCGCTTCTGCATTAGTTTAGCACCTTGCGTAAATCATGGGCACACTTTCTTGTCTTGGAGAGGATTTCTTTTCTGCTATTTACTAGGAATTCGTGAATCATGCATATTTAGACTGCCACAGGCGTGCGCATTGGGTGTGCAAAAGCCCTGGCAAGAACGAGGGAAAATGTCATTTGCTTCTTGTTCCTTTTCCCTTTCAATTGAAAGACCACGGTCTAACAACACGAATCCAAGACGTTTGCCCCAGTGTATACGGGTAGTCAATCGAAGTCGAAAAGATCCACCACGGATACCTTAGGCTTGTACATAGGTAAAAATCACTGATACAGCAAATACCCATAGCAAAACTAAACTTGGGCTGCAAATATTCTAGTGATAGAGGTCATTGGGTTCTGAAACAATCATCTGGGAAGACGATCTAATTAAAGTGTACTGTAGCTCGTTGAAAAGCACTCTAAATATACTTCAGTTTTAAGGAAAAGAAAGGCAACTTCGGAGAGGCTGTCTTCTATGAAAGTATTCAGTATGGAATACTTGCATAATCTGTTTAGAACCATTGCCTAAGAAAGCACAACACTTTGCACTTAACTTTGAAATTGACTCCACAAACGGTCGATTCCCAACAGACTCCATATCACTAATTAAAGAGTGCTGTTTAAGCATAATTGCTGTCTGTCCAAATTAAAGGTCGTTATTAGGCCCCATGTTCTAAAATTCATGCCCAAGTGTTTGTCAAACCTCCAAAGTTAAATTTCTTAGTCCAGGCTTTGACACATCTAAACACATAATGTTTCAAATCACCTGCTACTTTAAAAAGGTCAAATGTATTCCAAATGAAGTTTTTTTTAAAAAAAAGGCTGCCCCTGTTCCTAATCGAAGCGGAAGATCATATAGATCAGTATTCTTCGTAAAAAGTCCAAGGTCAATTCTAGGGAATAAAAGGGTATCGTTTTGCGTCTGTTAGTAGCTGCTAAATATGTTTAATTGTCGAAAACAATCTATAGTATCTTGCACGCACATCTTGTTCTAACTCTGTTTACCTCATCAAACTGATGACAAAAGGGGGTGAATAATTTCGCAAAATTCCCGTACCAAATATTTTTCGACAAGTAAGATGCCTACATGCGGACACTGTGTCAGTTACCAATTCTAAGGGCCTTGGGAATAACCTTCCATTACAAACGGGAATGATTGGTTGAATCGTTTATTAGAGATATATGCCTGTCCATATGCGGATGCATGATTATCAGCTTTTTAATGACGTGGCAAGTCTATAATTTGGCGTATTTTATTGATCCGTAAAGCGATTTCGCTGCCTCAGTGTTAATTAAAGTGAAGAGTTAGGTAATTTGAATCAAGCAAAAATTGGGGTTATTTTAAACGGATCTCATTTTTTTGCAAAAATAGGCACATAATGCTTTATTTAAGACCATGAGCTCGCCAGCTTACAAATTTATATTATGTCGGTTGTAATAATAACATAACGCATACAAACGGAAAATGTACATTTCTGTCACTAGATTGATTTATACCTTAATTTTTGTCGTACTCTGCTGACTGACCTTTACTCTGAACAATGTTGATTTTGTATTTATCTTTACTTGAAATAATCCGTGCAATAGGTTCTATACACTGTTGTGAAATGTTGGTTCACCAACTTAATATTTACCGAGGCGTAATTTCATAGAATTTTCGGAATTTATCTCGGGTCATTTAGGATACATCTTGGCTGTACGTACACCAAAATAAGTTTACAATTAAAAAATCGTTTGGTTTTACAAGGTATGGTGTCACTAAAAAGAACACTTGATTGTTAAGGCCTTGTCAGTCGCGCTTTCATCTAGCTGTTCATCCTTATAGACGGAAAGCCAAGCATTGGACGAACGAATTTAAAAAGGCAAGTGTCAATCACTTTCGCGTTAGCTCTAAATTAGAAATTAAATTGCATTGCCTCTCGTACACCTCATGGTAGTGAAAATAGTTCTTTTCCATTACTTTTTGTTCACTCTGCAATGTGCGTTTTGTTTTACTGGAATTATAATAGCAAGTTTAGAAACAAAATTGGCGTTTATTTTCTTTTAGAAAATTGGTGCAGCCCATTCAATTGCAAAGGCTGGCTCAGGCCCAGAAAATAGGTCATCTGCAGCGTAACCGGATGCGAATGAAAAATTACAGTGAAGCAAGTTTGCAAACAACCACGGTTCCTTTACACTAGATACTTTTGCCAAATGCTTTTTGCCAGATTTTCAACATTTTCATTAAAACCTTCGTGCATTCAGAAGTTCCCAATGCAAAACACAGTACAAAGCACAGTTTTCATTTGTTAGATATGGGTTTTAAAACATTTGTCTTTGTTGAAATTTGTCACTTAGGCACTGCACCAAGCTGAGTTTCCAGACATCTATTTACTGATACTTAAATCCACCACTGTACCTTCATTTTCCACGAATTTTTTATCCTTAAATAAACACTGCTAAGTGGTTTCTCAAATGCAAGCTTTTGGTTAAACCATTAATAATTAAGGTAGAAAGTGGAAAAAAACTGCTCAAATATTCCAGCCTTCTCTGCGTAATCCGTTTTATGGTAACGATTTGTGTAACAGTTATTTTCCTGAAGTTGCCGCTATTTCAAAACCACGCTTTCTGTTTTGAAGTTAGGACTACTTCATCTTCGCCCTGATTATAAGCCTAAACAAGCCTTGATAAGTGTGTTAAATCCACTCTCTTAAGTAAATTAGGGAAATAAATTAAATTTTCTTAGCATGCTTGCATATCTGCCTCAATTAAGGAGACCTTGGGTTAGTCTTTAACATCACATGCTAATCGCTGGCACCAACCGCAGTCTCCATAATTACTGTAGTTTCTGACAGTGTTGCCCGAATGTGTTCGTAAGGAATTTTTTATGAAATTAAACCTGACCACTCTGGGTCCTCAGTCCACTGAGTGTGCAAATGCAATGGTGTCATAATCTGACAGTTGATTTTTCTTCCTGCCCATGGTCAAATATACATTTGAAAAAGACACCAGAACTACAGTTTTTTGGGCAAATACAATTAGACCCAAAATAAATCAAATCTCAATTTGAAATTCGACAATCAATGGCTGTAGTTGATATTTGCAGTTATTTCATGGTTATTCAGTTTCAAATGGCCTGGCGTACCTAGATTTTGTCCTTTTTTAAAATAACGAATGCAAAAGTTAAATCAAAATTGTTCAGCAAAGTGG